AGCTTTTTGTCAGCCTTGCTAGCCTGTCTTCTACAGCAAGTAGGTGACTTAAAGAACCTGTCAGAATATGCTTGATAAACCTTGTTCCCCTACCACTTTCACACTGTTAGTTAGCATCATCACTACTCAGCCTTTTAAAAAGATCACACTGTGTCAGAAGCAAAAACACTGACAAGTTATAGGTACTTCCAAGCACCAAGCTTTTCAGAAATAAAAAGTTATTTAATTTCAAAATTAAATTAGCTGTTTGTATCTCAACATCTATGTTCCAATGTACTCAGATGTACTGTTGCATTTTATCTTTCTCTAAGGCAATGCCAAACTGGAAATATGAGCTTTCATGAAATCATAATTAATAATCAGATTAAGAATTCCTAATTAGTATTTTTAACTCTCTATGCTTTATGCTTAGCTTACCTAATTAGTTTGGCAAGTAATACAAAGTTGTTATGTGAACACTGAAGTTTTCCAGAACTTCAGCCCTTCAATATATAAAGCCCAAATATAAAGGTCCTGTGCTCTGTTGGAAAGGCAGCATCATGACCAGCAAGTTCTTCAGGGGTTTTGGAGCTTTATTAGAGAACTAGTCAGAGAACTAGTCAACAAACAATGAAAGAAAAACCTCACTTCAAATGTTATTCTCGGCAACGATGAAAGAGATACCAGTGAGTGATTTTCAACTTCATCTAACCAACCAGCCCATAAGCTTCTGCTACTCCAGGAGCTCAAGAAAAATTATACTTGCACCTCTTAAAATGGCAACAGAAAAGTAACAGCGTAGAGTGGGGGAAAGGACTAGAGCAAAGAACAACAATGCAAAAGAATGGTCAGGCATGCACTTTGGCAGTTGCTTTGCAATTAAGTACTTGAAGCATAAACTCTTACAACTACATCAAGCTATGATTCCTTCAGCCGAGATTACGTTAGCTTGCTAAAATACCTACACACATCCGTAACATTTTGAAGACTGTAGTTTTGCAAGCCTAAATTACAGCTCATATTAAATATTAAGCAGTTCAAATAAGTTAAAATATATTGTTTGAATGAATTACTCATGTGACATTCAATCATGCAAGGTCAAGCTACTCAATTCAACTGCAACAAAAATATACAGAAAAACTAGCTAAGATCTTACACATCAGCATCACTTTGCTCTATCGTTGAAGGACTGCAGTCTTACCACATTAAAATGTTATTTCCCCCTTACAGAAATCTGCTGTCTTCAATCCTCTCTCCACAGCCTAATATTTCTTACTGTTAGTAGTATGTTAAATAATTTTCACATACCAGTTGTGAACCATCAGCTTCTGCACAGCCAGTAGTGCATTATAACGAACTTGTTGGTCTTCATGATGCATGTGGTTCATTACCAGCTGTTTACCACCAAGTTGTTCAATCACTCTGAAAGAGAGGATGGGAGCAGTTTTTTTTGACATTACTTAGCTTCTGAGTAGCTATCCTATGCAACAACTTCATGCTCAAGGCATTAAGAGGTTAAATTTAAGTCACATAATATTTATTTTATTAGAAGTATTTATTTCCTAACATATACATCTTATTTGACATTACAAATGCAGATCTCTCATACTACCTCCTGAATTTTCAATTAAGAATTAGTAACATCAGAAAGTGTTTGTACTGGATTCCTCTGTTTACTACCCACTAACTAATTCCATAAATTTTGAAATAAACAACAATTAAGGAAGGAGCCCTTTCCAGAGAGGGTTATTTACCCAGCTTGCTAAAGAACTCAATGTTGGCTTGAGAGGGTTGGCAGGGTACAGCACTCTATATTATTAGTTAGGAGGAGGTAGTGCCCTCCCCTCCATAAATTGATGAGGTCACTCCACTTTTTTGCATGAATAAAGCCCCAGTCCAGCACTGCCTAATCCAGAAAAAATGCTTGTAATCACACCAACACCTATTAAACCAGGCACTTGGTACTCCTCATAGTGCTTTTTGCCATTCAAACTGTACTAGAGCCACAGCTATTCTTGCACAAGATGCAGAACTGCCTGCTAAGTTACTGTTTCCAGAAAAACAATATGTTTGAGCTGCATCTTTCAGTACAAACTTCACCATAGTAGCCAGCCATAGCTTTTTAATAGCTATACTAAATCCCATAGGAAATACTGATGAAACCTTGTATCACATGATGAATATATTCTTTCTCAAAAAAAAAAAAAAAAAAACAAACAAAAAAAACAAAACCAAAAAACCAGGAAGGCAACACACTTAAAACCTGAAAAAGTATCACATCCAGCATTTTGGTCTGTCATAGAAAGAAAGTTTGGAAAGAATTTGCAAGCAATACATAAACTGATTACTCACTGACTTGCATATGTTTTTTTTACATCAGTTCTCTCACAGGTCACTGAGTAGTTAAACATAATATCCTGTGAAGAGGCTATTGTTTGCATTACTCTTAACCTGATGCTATCCTGCCATTCTAAGCTTGCATTAGCTGTTTGCTTTATTACTGTTCTTTTCATGGCCAAAATAATGCATTATTGCTGCACAACACAACATGTTTTTGTAAACTGCAGAACAGTACAAAGCCATAGCGTGGAAATGAAAAAGAGAATTTCCCATTTCATTTTATAACTCAGTCAAAACCATCCTGGAGACCACAGGGAATATTATTTCCCAACAGTATTAAAACACAGAAGGATGTTTCATACAGGAGGAAGGTATTCAGAAAAGTGTAACTGTTTTAAGCTGGAAAATCCTCACCAAGCATTCAAGAAGTTATTAGTAATGTAACAGATTCAAAAACACCTTTATGTCTGCCTTAGGCTGTCTCACATTTTTAATCATGAGTTAAATATAAAAGCACTGCACACAAAGACAAGACTATGAAACACAAACAAGAATTTTTTCCTCATTACAGGACTGACTTGAACACTGAATTTTCAGGAATTGAAAGGAGGTAAAAAAGGCATTAAACTGAAAAGCTTCCTTATGCTAGGAGCACGCAAAAAAACAAAATGGAAAGTTAAAATCCTATAATCACAAAAGGAAATAAGAGTATTTCAGATTAGAGTACATCACTGAAATTACAGCTGAGAATATGAAGAGTCAAAGAACAGCGTTACCATTCTTGCATAACACTGCCTACTGGTACAAATCACTTCCCAGCCATGTGTTTTAGACCAAAAGATAAGCAACTGTGAGGAAGGTTCACAGTGAATCCTGTTCCTTCAAGTTCCAAAACTGCTCAAAACACTACTTTTAATTCTGTTTTCCGTCTCCTCACCTTCTGCTTACTTTACAGCAGTAATAGAGCCCAGTGGGCCAGTTATGGTATGTGCACATCTTCTGCAGGGACTGTTCCCCATAACAACAGTGCACTAAGCCAAAACAGTGGCAATTCAAGCAAGTTTCTGGATGCTGAGGGGCCAGATTTTAACATGACCCATTTAAAGGGAGAAAGAAGAAACAGAAGATGAAGACAAATGAGAACAGTTTAGACAGTTAATAGCAGAAAATATTAATACAAAATCCACACTACATACCTAAAAGCAGACCAAGGTGAAAAAGGGAATGCAATTAAGCTGTTTGAGTCATGAGCTGAAGAAGGGAATGGCTTTAGGCGTCAATCTCTTGTACATTCAAAACATAAAACCCCTGCTCATGGCATTCAGGTGATTGAAAGTGTTGATCTTACATAGCAGTAACCTTGGGCCATACGGAAGTTGTACTGGAGGCTGATGTTTAGCCCACATTTATTTTCAGTGACAGGAAACACCAATGTGTACTTTATTTCTGCTGCTACATTGTGAGAAAATGCATGTTGGTGAGCCTCATTAGATGCAATTTTAAAGGCAAGTTAAAACTATTTAAGCTGACAACATTACTACATTTTTGCCTGGTTGTCCTCTATTTAGTTTAACGAACATTTTCTTTTGTCAGACAAAGGGAAAGGTTAGCCAGAACTGTAACTCTAGTTCTCCAGTGTGCACAGCAGGTAAACTCAAATTCATCTCTGCAACCTTCGAAGGCTGAAGGACAATCCAGTTAAGAATTGAGGAATACTTAAAGGAAACAAATTATTTAAGACATTTGAATTCTCTTATTCTTCTAAACCAACAAATAGCATCCATTCTCAAAGTGAGTCATGCAATGAGAGCGTGAAATACCAACTAGGTGTGGGAGCAGTAAACAACTATATATCAAAAACATCATGGTAAGAAATGGACTATTACATGGGACCTGACACACAGTCCTTAGGTATTTTAAGCTTTTAGTCCTAAAACTGCTGAAGTCATACTTAGTAAGAATACACTGGATTACAAAGGAAATTCTTGAAGAGAAAGAGATTGGGGCATTTTAGTTTGTCCATCAGAACAGAAAGCTAAATAAACCAAGTCCATAAGCAGAAAGCAGCTAAAGTATTAGATTTGATATAGGAATGTGGGTTAGAATAGTATTTAGGACACTTCTTATTTGCTGGTGACCACTCCTTTTGAAGGTGGACACACTTTTGAACAGGTTTAACAGCCTGGGAGCTGAACGGAGCTATGGTCCCAGCAGCAGTACATTTTCCCAACTACAGACAGAGAGATACAGGTCCTGTTTATCCAGTCATCCAACTTCATAGCTTTGGTCCAGCAACTGCATGGCCATACTAGCCCAAGCATTATGCCACATTTGGGTAGATGTGTGCAAGTTGTTTAAAGGTTATGGCAAACACCTAATAAAATGGTTTCAGACAAAGGGCAGCTCAAAGCAGGAGCCACTGGTATTAGTCCTTCAGCTTTGCCACTTGCAGGCAGCAGTATGAGTTTCCACCTTCTTGGAGGGTATCTTGCCTCCCCTCCAAATACCACTTGTCATAAACCTCTTTTGGAAAACACAGGAGCTAATTAGCAAATACACAGCACTGCTCAGTACAAGCAGTACACACTGAACACCTCTGACCTTTCTTTAGTGGACCTAGAAGGCAGTTAATTTATTCCAATAATCTAAAAATACCTTCAGTTCAAGTTGCTTACAAGACTACAAGGGCTGTGAGTCTTTCTAGAGTGAACAAATCTTTCTAGTATAGCGTGAAGTTTCAGTCTGTTGTTCATGATTCTACTACTGTCAAGACAGCAGTCGGCACAAGAAGTGTTCATGAAATTCCTAACAAGCCTAGAAGACCATTCTCATCTTCCCCATTAAACCCCATGCAGAAACCAGAAACAGACCACTTCTTTGCTACAAAGATTAAGTCATATGTCCCTTTGGGTGACTGATGAGCATGATTCCAGAAAAAAAACCAAAGGCCCCTTTCTGCTTCAGTGGTCTCTACCTTAGAGATGCAATTATTCAGCAAACATCTTTGCTCACAGGTATTTGAAACAAAACGAAGAAAGAAAATACAGCAATGTCTGTCTGCATATTTTGACAAAAATACAGGTTTACAATAAACATTAACACTGTCACTGAAACGTGTATTTGTGTAGCTAAAAAGACATGCTAAAATAGAAAAGTGATAACTGAATCTGTGCTAACATCACTGAAATTACAATAGCAAATCTTTGTGAGAAAAATCTTGTCTCAGTAGTCTCAAGCCACGAAATACTTAATTATTGTTGAAATAGTCCATCCCTACTGTAAGTCCAATAGTCATAATAGAAGGTAAAAATTGTATGTTGATTAAATTCTTGGTAGCTTTTCTAATGTCTTCTGGGGCATGTCTTCTGCTATAGTCTAAACAACTTACTGAAGACTTTTTTAGACATAGGTTCCCTTCACCATGAAGAGACGCATATTAAGTCAAAGATCTAGTTTGTACTTACTCATCTGATCTGCTTTGTGTTTTCTCACCTTCCCAGTGAATTAAACTTAAGCATAACCTGCAATCCCTATGTAGCATATTTTAATATAAACAAGCAAAAAAGCCACAGGCAAAGTATACACTCTAGCTAGTCTCTTGAGTAACAACATACTGGCATTCTTCTTACCGTTTCCCACGGGGATAGTGTCGTACATATTCTCCCACATCATGAGCAGCTACAGCCAGCACTTGTGGGTCATCAGAAACCTCCAGAAGTTTTGTCAGGATTCTAGGAAAGGATTTGAAACAATCAAGTCCCAGGTTTTGTTTTAGGGGTGGGTTTTTTTGTTTTGTTTTGGGTTTTCTTCATTGTTGTTTTTTTAAAATCACTGATAACTTAAAATAACAAAGCCTGTAACCATAAAAATGCTTTACAAGTTACCCAAACAGCAAAGCTAGAATAGAACTTTTTCCAAATGTGCAGGCTGCACTGAAAGCAATGGAGATCCTGCCCTAATGAACAGAATTATTAAAAGCATTCACTAGAGTGAGTTTAGTGAGCCGCATCTACAAATACCTATAACCAAGGTTTACAAACATACGTCCTTTGTTATACATTGGCTTCAAGACCAACAGTTTTGGGTTCAAGATAAGCTGTACTAACCAAACGTATAAATATGTATAGACTGGGACAGGCGTGGGACACAAACAAAAAGCCTACACAAGGCCAACAGACACTGCTGCTTCTGTTATACAACAGACCCCAGTCGTGCTTGCATGCTGTTCCCAGCTCCTGCGCTCAGGATCCTGAACTATGGATTCAGAAAGTGGTAAGGCCACATTGCTCGTGACACGGCAAGGGGGGTATGACAAGCCTGCTGTCTATCAGCCTTTCCCCAACTCTATTCCCCCCCCACCTTACAACACTAGCCTTGCTCAACACAGGCTAGAAGGACAAAAGAGACAGAATTTTATGCAGAACAGTTATACAGAGTTATTTAAAAAATAAAAGGCATCCTAACAGTTGAGAACAAAGCAGCACACCAAGTTCTTTGTCCTGTGCAACTGTGAACTTCTCTCGGTTCAAGATCATCAACTTTATCTCAAAAACATCACTCGTTCAGTCACCTGTTGTGATCTAAAAAGCAGTTCTGTCCCAACTCAAAGACTGAGATGATATGTGTGATATCACCTTGTAATTGACTCCAGTTTCACATATTAGTTATTTGGTTAGCATAAACATAAATACAGAGCTGTAAGAATTAGAAAACAGTTTCTCAACTCTTAATATTGTCTGCATTTTTTAATTAAGTAGTTTAATCAGTTTTAGTGGAAAACAGCTACCAGTAATACTGTTCTCTAGCCAGTAATGAGGAGGGGGAAAAAAATGACACAGCTATGAAAGTTAGGCACTAATAATAAGTTTAAAAGGTTAAACATACAGATCACTGGAAAATTAGATTCATCTACGCTTAGTGAGATGACAAACATGTTCTAATCACAGAAAGTTAGCAACAAGTTTAAATAGGTAGGTAGGTTAAAAATTCAACTGGAATTAAAAAAAGAACATTCTGATAAAATTTAATTACCATAGCCACTGCCTCCCTAAGAGGCCAGAAAGTGACAGAGGAAGCACTTTTCCTTTTAAAAGAACTCCTAATTTGGACAAGAAGTAGGAGCAGCAGCTTGAACCATAACAGTAATCAGAAGACACTGAAGATCCATACAATATTGTTGAACAAAATACAAGTCCAGCATCACTTGCTTAACAAGTCAACAATGGCAGAAGGCAAGGAAAAAAGTAAGTTTAACCGTAAGCTTAAGTATATTAGAGTTAGGAAACAAGTAAGTGGCAGATAAGGGAAAATAAAATGATGTGGCTTGAAGCAAAGAAAGGATTGTCTGTCAAATGCCTTACAACACAGAAGAGTTCTGAGGTGCAACCATCTCCCCACCACACTGCAGGAGGGCGGTTATTTTTTTTTGGGGGGGGGAGGGGGGGGGGGGGGGTTTGG